CAGGAGTATCTTCGACAATATCCTCCTGGGACTGAATGATCTGGGACAACATAGAACTATGCTTGAGGCGAGAGAGCTGGTGCATGCCGCGGCGAAAGTCGCCCATGCCCACGATTTCATCATGACTTTGCCGCAAGGGTATCACACTGAAGTGGGTACGAAGGGCCTGCAATTGTCTGGCGGTCAACGGCAACGCATATGTATCGCAAGATCAGTCATCAGCAATCCGAAGATTCTACTGCTGGATGAGGCTACATCTGCCCTTGACTCGAAGTTCGAGAAGGCAGTTCAGCTGGCTTTGGACTCAGCTGCCAGGAATCGAACGACAATTGTCATTGCTCACAGGTTGTCGACCATACGAAACGCCGACAACATCATTGTTATGGGTAAGGGAGTCATTCTTGAACAAGGAGCACATGAAGATTTGATGGCCCTAAAAGGTGCCTATGCACAACTCGTAGAGGCACAGCAGGTTGACAGTGCCACGGACGGGGGGGCAAATGGGCGTCTCTCAAGTACTGAAGACGATGCTTCGAGTGATGGCAAGGCTGGGCCCTGTGAAGTGTCGGAAACAGTCAACTTTCATCACGACGACTATCTCGCCAATGATCATGGACCACTTCATGACTCCAGACCTTCATTCAGAACCTACTTTCGAGTGGTGCGCAAGCTCAATAGAGAAGAGGTTGCAATAGTACTCACTGGACTTCTACTGTGCAATCTTACGGGATTTGTGGTTCCAACGTGAGTACTTGCGCATGCTGTCTGAAAAGCGGCTAACATGTAGAAGGCAAGCTGTTTTCTTTGCTGAATCGATCAGTGCTATCACTCTTGACTCTACGAGATATAGCAAGCTTCGCCATGATATCGACTTTTGGTCCTTACTTTTCGTGATCCTTTCTATCTTTGCCTTCATCACATGGATAAGCCAAGGGATCTGCTTTTCCCGGTCTACAGAGCGACTCACACACAAAACCCGAGACCAAACATTCCAGTCCATCATCCGTCAAGACATAGCGTTCTTTGATGAGAAGAGAAACTCCCCTGGAGCGCTGACGTCGTTCGTCTCGACCACGGCCACTGACATTACCGGCCTGAGCGGGCCCATCATCGGCTCCAGCCTCACCTTCATCGCAGCCCTGGCCATAGGCATCACTGTCTCGCTCATCACGGGCTGGAAGCTCGCTCTCGTCTGCATCGCGACGATCCCCATAGTGGCAGGATGCGGCTATGTTCGCCTCCGCGTTCTCGCACTGTTCGACCAGCGGGTCCGCAAAACGCACGAAGAGGCCGCTATCTACGCGACGGAGATCATAACGACGATCCGATCGGTCGCTTCCCTCACTCTCGAGGAGTACTTCCTGGACGAGTATACGGCCATCCTCTCGCGCTCGGCTGCTCAGTCCATGCGATCGATCCTCAAAGCCTCGGCCCTGTACGCCGCGTCGCATTCATTCACCTTCTTCTGCGGCGCCCTCGCCTTCTGGTACGGCGGCACACTCCTCGCCAAAGACGAGTACACCATCCTCCAATTCTACGTCTGCTTCGGCGCCCTGATCTCGGGCGCTCAAATCGCCGGCGCGGTGGTCTCCTACGCGCCCGACATGAGCAAAGCGCTGCACGCGGGCCAAGAGATCGACCGCCTCCTCAACCGGGCCGCGCAAATCAACACTCAGGAGCACCATCAACATCCCACGATAGACCACTACGGCGCCATCGAATTCCAAAACGTCACCTTCCACTACCCCTCCCGACCCGCGCACCCCGTCCTCCAGAACTTCTCCCTCACCATCTACCCGGGCCAATTCATCGCGCTGGTCGGACCCAGCGGCTCCGGCAAGACCACCGTCCTCCAACTCCTAGAGCGGTTCTACACCCCCACCGCCGGCCAAATCCTGCTGAACGGCGTCGATATCTCGCACCTGGACGTCACCAAATACCGCCAGACCTTCTCGCTAGTCAGCCAAGAACCCGTCCTGTACGACGGGACCATCCGCGAGAATCTCCTCCTCTGCGGTGCCGACCGCCCGCTCGATGACGAGGATTTACTGAGGGTGTGCAAGGAGGCCAATCTCTATGATTTCGTCGTCTCGCTTCCGTACGTTCACCCCAGCCCTGGGGCCTCCACCAAAATTTAGGAAATAGCCATCGGCATCCGAACGCTAACAAAGAAGGAAAACAGCTCCGGCCTCGACACCCCCCTCGGCACAGCAGGGACCATGCTCAGCGGCGGCCAGCGACAGCGTCTGGCGCTCGCGCGGGGCCTGCTCCGGATCAACAGCCCCGTGCTGCTCCTGGACGAGGCGACGGCGGCGCTGGACGGCGCGTCGGAGCGCGTGGTGCAGGAGGCGCTGGATCGGGCGGCCACACGGAAAACGACGGTGGCGGTCGCGCATCGGCTGCGGACGGTGCAGCGCGCGAATATGATTGTTGTGATGGAGCGGGGGAGGGTGGTGGAGTCTGGGAGGCATGGGGAGTTGATGGCCCGGAGGGGGATTTATGCGGAGTTGGTGGGGATGCAGCGGTTCGAGGGGGTTTAGAATGTCTGGCAGTTTGGTTGTTGCGCTTGATCTCGGTTTGCGCTTCTTTGATAGCAGGGCAGTGGATGCATGCGGGTGTATGAAGATTTCTTTTTGAAAGTATATAGGCGTGCTTGGTAGATCTCAGCACGGGAAGAGAAGGGTTTTAACCACCTCAATGCTCAATACTGGGAGGTTGCACCACTCTCTTTCCTCTTCCCTGCTTCCATATATACACTGTGTTTGCTCTTTGTGAAACATGGTTTCGATCCGTATACCAACTTTAGCCCGTTTGCCCACGCTCAACCAGAGGAGAATGAAAGTCATCTATACTTATTCCGAGTTACATCCGATTCACATTTCCAACACTCCACTTGTCCACCGTAAATCCACATCTCCATCGTTAGAGGACAATATACAACATGCTACGTGTGTGGATATTGGAAGACTGTCGGCCGAAGGCACAAAAGCCGGGGCCATTGCCCAAATCCCTGTATGCATGCCCCCCCCCCCCCCCCCCCGGCAACAATAGGGCTGCGGTGATGTAGTGGTATTAGTATTGCAGAGCCCCCTTGGCCTGGAGCGAAGTGGGCGTGCAGAGTCTGGGTTTGAGGCCCGGCCGCGGTATTGCTTTTGGGATTCTTGTTGCCGAGGGAAGGCGTTGTGGGGGCTTTGTTGGTGATTGATGCAGGGTTTGGATGTATGTTTGGGGGTATGGGTGGGGCTTGTGGGTCGGGTGTGAATGTCTTGCTGTGAGTGATCATTGAATTTGTGGTGTTAGAGGGTAGAGACGGTGGTGTTGGAATAGTTTGGAAGGAGGGCAAAGGGGGGGAAGGAGGTAGAACTTGACGAAGGAGAAATAGAAGAGGAGAAAGAAGGACGACAGAAAAGAGGCAGAAGTGCGGACAAGGGCATGTCTGCAAAGTCGAATGCTTTGTTGGCCGATTCCTCGAGCTCCCGTCTAGATCGTACTTGATTCACCACGGTTTTTGGGGCCCTGGAGAAAGGGCGTCCTAAAGGAGTGCTGAGAAGGAATTGTCTATACAGAGTACTCAACGAATGTTTGGCTTCTTCACCACGTCAGCAGCACGATACGGCACGCCAGGCTCCTGCCTGCCACGGCCCATTGGTAGTCACCCAATGGAGACAGAAGCTCAGTCATATGGACATCCTGCCAGGCCAGGTCCGGCTGAAATGCGCTCGACGTCTAGAACTACTCCAGGCCTTGTTCGGGTTCATGCCTTGCAGCCTTATCAAGTACCCATTGCGAAGGCCCAGGCATGCATCCACAGAAACAACAGCTTACGGGAAAAGGGTAACAGATCGCGAGTAAGCCCATGCCTGAAGCGGAGCGCACTAGCCTTGCGCTTCGAAGAGTCTTGAGCTAGGTGGTCTGATTGTCAACTTGTGAACGGTTGGTCCACATATTGAAGACGGTATATACAGGAAAGGAGATCCCAGTACATGCCTACCAACGCGACATCCGTCCCACCCTGTAGGGTCTAGACCCTAATGCGATGGAGTGGAAGTGTGCAACGATGGTAGGCACTTTGCATGATAGGGACACCAGGCCGTACGAGATAACATGGGTAAGCACGGAACATTCTCGAGCATCACTATCCATGACTCGACGAGTAGTTTGCGTGAGAAGATAACCGACGGAAGCTCACGAGGTCAGAGTTGGAGTGTTGGTCTAATGTCATCCGACTCTCGGCCGTGATCCCTTGCTTCTCCATCGCGACAAGGCAAGGTATGGAAACAAGAATAGCATGTGTTCGTTATGCATGCCAATTCTATTTCGAATCCTAATCGACATCGCTAGCTCTTCTGCCCTGGGTCGTTCCAATCGGAGCAATGCGGCCTGTTGGGGCTATTAATTAACAACAAGTGACTAGGCAGTAGCGGCATCAAGGACTGCAACGGTACTATAAATTGTGGCACAGACAGTGAAGCGAAGACTAGTCCGGAGGGGTTCTGGAGTTCATGCAAGTCTCACCATCGCTCAAAATAAATGCCACTAATTTGCATCCTGGTTAACCCGCATACTTAGTCCTGCGGGTTAAAAATATCCCTAATTTCGCTGAGTTCGGCGATGCGCTAAGCCCAACCAACAGGTTTTTACCTGCGCAAGAGCAACGAACTCCGGGCTAAGCAGACTAAGTGTCCATTTGAGGAGTATTAATAGGATGATTGTCAATTCAGCCCACCAATCATCCGTCAAAGGAGGGGTTTCCAACAGGTTGGTTCTGGCAGCTACACAGCCCTCGGCTGGGGTTGACAGCGGCGACGCTCCATGCCAATGGACCGTTTCAAGTGGGTGTCAAAGTAGCAAACCGTTTCAACCCAACCGCGTGCTGGTCAAACAACGTGACAGCTGCGGACTAAAAAACCTCATGGCCACGCGAGAACAATACTTAAGGACATCATGCACATCACTTTTGCCCGAGTGAGACATTGCCATTGTTCTCGGCAGCCATGTCAATGGCTTCAGCGGCAAACTACCAGGCAAGCGCCACGCTGACCCCCTGCTCGAGCCTCATCGACAAGGAGCTACCCCACAAGACGGCCGTGGAAGATCCTGCCACGGAGCAACTGGCATTCGCCCTGTTCGAGGAGAAGGTTCTAAAGAGACTCGAACATGTGGTACGCTTGTACAATGCGGGGAAACCGCTTTTCCCCCGAGCGCTGCTGGAAGACCTTGACCGGCAAATCGAAGAAGGCAGGGAGGAGATCCGCATCAAGGACTTCGATGACGTGGTAAGCACGTATAGCCGGAGTGTCCCTGCTGTATGCTTGGACCTGGCGTGAGTCTCCGTTCATATGGGTTGCGTTGTTGTCAGGCCGGGTCTAATCAGCGACAGAACAACATACTGCATCGGATATAGCAGCATCCAAGTGCTTACCCATATCCACCCTTCCTGTGCAACGATGATGTTCAAGGACCCGCCCCCAGTGTCCATTCTGTATACCCGCCACCCCGAAGTTGCTGAAGGTAACATCGAAATGCTTGGTCCGGTTTTTGTCAAGATGCGCGAACGGTGGCAGGAGAGCGAGACATGCCAAGAGCTGGTATCCCACCTAACGACCCTGCGCTTCTCCCTCCCCATTCACAAAATTGTGGCGTTTGGTCTGGGGACACTGGGTAAGACGCAAAATGGACGGTTCTCCACACGGTCACATGTTCAGCATGCGGCAGTGGAAACGATGGCGACCATTCTGGCCAAAAGTGGGGTCAGTGGAGGCAAGAGGATCGACTGCTACTTCCAAGATCCATGGTATGATGAAAACGATGTCAGGTTCCTGCACAGTATAGGCTTCCAACCACTGAACGACCCAAAGGGGTTCCTGGAGATTGACGAACATACCTTGGTGTTTTCGGTCAGCCCCAACGTACCTGTGAAGCAGATTGTCGCTGACCTCCAGTGGCCCGGTGCCATGATCTGGAATACTGTGTGCGGAGAAGAGGAGAGAAAGCAGTGGAAGAGGCGGTTGAGGAATGGCGAAGAGTTCTGGTTGGGGTAAGTAGTGCCTTGTTGCCTGGGTGCCTGGGGGAATCGGTTCGGTTTGTGCTGATTGATTGATGGATGTTGATGTGGTACTACAGCCCGCTCGCCACGGATCCCGACTCGGACCGCGTTTGTGAGATGATCACCCACTATCAGAAATTCGCATTGCACGACCCGAAGGACTATTTCGGGGACCTCTCAATCTACGTCAGGCATTGATGTATGTGGCTTGCTAGTACCGATTTGCCTCTCTCCCTCCCTGTGTGTGTGTGTTCGTGTTGAATGAGTAGAATATATCTTCTATGACGCGCATTGCTTTCATGCACGTATAACTTGCTAGCACCAATGGAATTAAAAAGTATCTGAGTCCCTGCTCTACTTACATGTGGAATTCTTTGAGATTTGGCTGGTAGGCGCTAAATTTGACCGTGCCAGCAGTACCATTATGCACTGGCAAGGATGATCGATGCCTGAGGCTTGAAGCAGCACAACCAAGTCTCGTATGGTGCTGGAGGAAGTTGATGCCTGAATAGATATTATAAGCTTCTACAAAGGTCGATCCCAAGTGGTATGATTAAGCAAGTCAAACAGTCCGTAATCACCGGGCAGGTGACTCCAAGGCGCCAAACCACCACCGCTGCTGGTCTGCCATCCGGCGTCAGCCCGGAAAGTGGAAGGATCGGGCAGACCAGGCCGGGCTTCGAGGTCCCGGGTCTCGAAACTATTATCAGAGCTATTTTCAGACCCTGGCGTTACCTGCGCGGATATCGATGGACACAGTCGACGCAGGTTGTTTCTGATGAGGAGAGCCGGATGCCAGGACGTTGACAATTCGTCCAGCACGGTAATGCAACTAGCGAGGTGGGTGACATTGGAGGGACTCTCATGATCTTCGAGCAGCGCCACCGCAGCACAGAGCGTGCAATGCATAGCGGAGATCGGGCTGCGGTGGAAGCTCTGGAACACTCGGCGGTATTTCTGAGCCGTCAGACACATCGCCTTGGCGGACTCGCGCCAGACAGCCGTGGCCACGGTCGTGAGTTCGCTGGACCCTGCTGCGCGTTGATGCTCGGCTGTTTGGACTATGAAAGGCCGAGTGAGGAGGATTCGTGCGGTATGGTAGAGCATGTGTAATGTGTAGACGTGCGGGACATCATTAGAGCGGTCAATTCGAAGCTCCTGTGGTAGGTCATAGAACCATGTCCGCAGGTCCAAGAGGCAAGTCCGGAGGAGGTTCAATCGTTCCGGTGGTTTGGTCAGATGCCTCGGAGCCCATCTGCTCTTGTCAGACTAGCATACCAGCTTATCAGTTGGTGACAAGACGTACAGTGATGTGAGTATTCTTTCTTTTATGCGACATAAAGCTATCATGGCTCGCAGTAGAGGCATCCGTGCCCTTTGGATGCTTTCTGGCGTGCGGCCATGGGTATGTTGATCTTCATCCATTATTGACGGCAGCTCAACTGCTCCTTGTTGATCCTGTAGAAAGTCAGTGAACATGTCGATTGTGTTCTCGTGAGTACACGTACGAGCATTGAGCAGACCCGACCGGTATACGCGGCAAACAACTTGTCATGACAGTACAGCGTCCAATAAACTTGTCGTCTGAGGCGAAGTTCCCGGCCAGTCATTTGTATCGTCCTTTCGAAGATTGCGGGATCCACATTTAGCCCAACATCAAGGCTCAGCCGATTAGCCATACCATGATGCAGCCATCCAGCTGCGTCCAAGCCTATGGCCTGGAAGGGAAAAGTTAGCATACGAATATGTCTCGGAATCGAGAGACGTACGACGTAGACCATCCCGATGACCCCCAACGCTTGAATTGTCAGGAATGTAGGATGCTCCATTTCCTGATGTAAAAGGGTCTTGGCCTTTTCAAAAAAAGGTAATCCGGCTGTGTTCGAGTCGCTAGGGTTACTCCGAACCTCTGGGTTGTCCGAATACCGGGACCCAAGCGCAAGGATGGAGTAATGAAGGAGCAGACTCCAATACGGGCCCTGCTTCTCCATACTTCCGCGAAAGAGGGTTTCGTCCACGATGGGATACCACGGTTGCTCCCAGGTAAAGTAAAGATCGATGAGCTCGTCCTGGAGCGCTTTAGAGATGCCTATTTCCTCAAAGGCAGGATCCACAAGGGGAAAGTTGAGAAATTCATCAATGCTCTGCAGGACGGGCTCTAGCTCAGGAACGGAGTAGGCGTTCTCCAGTTCCTCTTTCTCTTCCGGCCCCGGGGATTCGAAATTGAGTCGTCCGCTTGTCGGTCCGAAGTACCTCATCTCCCCGTCCTGGTCGAAGTTCATTGGCTCATCTAAGGACAAGCGACCTTTGAGGTAATCACATAATTCCTCTATTGATGCATTCTTCATATTGAACATCTGAGGATCATGGTCTTCATGAGGGGACCCCGCATCAATTGCTCCAGAGGCATGGCTTGCTTGAGGATTAATGCCATGACTTTCCAGTTGCTTCTCGAGAGATGCGATTCGCTGCCGCAGAAGAAGCACGTAGGACTTTGGCGCAGGCCGACGGCCGTCTTCTGTACCAGAGTATTGGCATTGCGCATCATACTGAGCACATCTCGAACAGCGAGGCTTCTTCCCATCACACTTGTAGCATGTTAGTAAGCAGGTGGTTGATCGACGAGCACCCGAGAGAAAAAAGAGGCTATACCTTCGCTTTTCGTTGTCGACATTCCTCGCACGCTTTGCTTGTATATCTCCCTCTCGTTCTGGAAGCGGCCTTTCCTCTTAGAGCAGAATCTGTGGATGACATGCTGATAGTTCATGGTTGGAAGAACGAATGGACAAAATGATGAATCATGTGCAGTTCGATTGGAAGTATTGGGCAGATTTGTCAGCAGCAGCGTCATTGCTGTGCTTGTCTTGGCACGCCGAATCGGGCTAGTCTGCTTCGCTTCCCTCCCAAGTTCCATTAATTGTTCGCGGAATCGGCGATTGTGATCACCTCAGCTGTTACTCGCAGCTTCCTCAACTACTTCCTCACAGGCAGCGGTGTTCTACCACAGACTATCTTTTCACTTGAACCAGCCAACTGCTCTGTTGATATTGATACGATACTAACATTAGACCTGTCTATCTGCGCCTCGCAATGCACGGGTAACAAATGAGAAAGAAGCGAATCCACCAAACACTGAGAGCCAACAAGCCTACAAATTCGAACCCGACCCAACTCGGCCCATAGTTCAATACCGCGCCCCCACAACCTCTCCGGTGGCTAGTGCTACGGCAACCACAGTGTCCGAGGCATGGCTGATTGTCACTTCGATGTTACTGATGCCTTTGGATGCTGCAACCGCATGAGCATTGCCATGAAGCTTGTAATAGTCAGTACCACTCAACATTCAAAGGAATGTCAACAAAACTTACGGTCACACTCAGAATACCATCTGTATTCACAATCTCAATCTCGTTCATTGAAGCTCCTGCACCTCGGGACGGCGTTTGCAAACTCTTGAAGACAGCCTCTTTAGCACTCCACCGACCTGCGTAAGAGGCACGGGGACTTGAAGCCTTTCGGCAGTACTCGCGTTCTCTCCATGTGAAATTCCGCTCAATGAAGTTCTCGTTTTCGATGTTAATACTCGCGATCTCCTCCACATCCACCCCGACAGTGACGGATGAAGCCGGCTTAGAACGACGGGTCACATCTTCAACCATTGATTGGACGATTGCCGATACCGTGTTTGACCTATCGGTTGTTGACATCATCTCTGCATTGGTTCTCTGGACGACGAAGGCATCTTGAGTTGATGCCCTGTCAACAAACCGAGATTGGTCTTTGGCGAGGCGACTGTTCTGATTGAGAAACACATCACGCATGTGATCGGTGTCTTTCCACGGCGCACTGGTTTTGACCTGAACTAGTCTGTTCTTCAGCAACCGCGAGATGTATTCTCTAGTTGCTGCTCGCTGTCGCTTGTCTACCTCGGTACGGTATCTCTCAAAGACCTCGGTTGACACGGATGCAAACAGATACCTCGGGGCGACCATGACGTTGATGGCACCTTTCTGACCAAAGCCAAACGATGTGAGCATGGTCGCCTTTACCTCATGAAGCGGCAATGACTCCATGGGGTACAATAGATGTTCGAATCTCCGCAGTTCCTCATCGATGTTGTCGGCGTTTCGATTCCCAGGAACAATCCTGTCTCGGAATATTTGCATACAGCCGTGTAGTTGCCAGGCGCCTGCTGCTGCCTTCGGATGGCCAGTTAGTGATTTCTGGCACACGCAGAGCAGTGGATTGCCTTTGCGCCGACCCAAGTGAAGCATCTGCGTGTTGATCACGTCCCCCTCGTTGACCTCATTGGCTTTTGTTGATGTCCCATGCATTGACACAACCCCAATGTCGTCAACAGTCAGGCCCCATGTAGCCAAAGCGGCTCGCACGGGTGAGATTGAAGAGTCCTGTAGGCGAATATTGTTCGCCCATCGCTGCTGCGCATCCCGGATTCTCAGGTTCACGACTTGCTCCGTGCGAGTATCCTCAGGCCGTATTTCGACACTTTTGCTCGACGAGTACTCTCTTGTAGGTTTCTGACCTAGATGATGCTGTTGGATGCAAGCTACTTCTCTATCGAAATTTGAGCGCCGGAATTTAAAGTCGAGTAAGGGCGAGCTTTGCGCTCCAATCCCCTCGCGTGCCGCAGTGAGGATCCCCTTACCGGGGGCCGGTATTGACCGACCGATCTGATCACTCGCGAGTTGGTTGTAAGCGACCACACCATAAATTGGCAATCCCATGTCGAGCGCGACGTCAGCACTGGCAAGTATCTGGACACCGCATCCTGCAGACTCAGCAAAGCCACTGCGTGAACTTGCCGTCGGGCGCGAAATCTCGCTCGGCAAACGGTCTTTGGCAAGCTCTTCGGCACTGTTGGCCGTGGCTTTGATGCTTGCGAATTCATATGCCACCTCCTCGCCATAATCATCACACCCGCCAACCAGAGCCATCCTGCATTTCCCGGTCGTTATTGCTTCACAACCCGAGTCCAAGGATTCAATGGCGGTGGCACACGCTCCAACAGGGGTTTTCAAAGGCCCCGTCGAAGATAACAACAACATGTTGATCCATGCACCCATGGTGTTGGCAAAATGATCTAGAATGATGTCGCCTCGGATTGGTCGATCAAGATATCGGTCTCGATACATGGATTGGATGGTCTTACCAGGGCCGCCACCAGTACCCAGGCAATT